ATAAAAACTAAAGCATAAAAAAGCATTAACTAATAAAAACTAGCAAATCCAAACTAAAAACTAATTAAAACTGAATTAAAAGAAAAGTCACAACTAAATAAAACTAAACAATAATGCAAAATCCAAAACTATTGTAATCCTGGTCCAGACCTGGCCCYGTTCAGATCTGACCCTGAACACTTCATTCTTATTGGTCTTTTCTCCACAGCTGACCCCCTGTTGTTTCCTGACACCGCCCGAGGCTCCGCCCACCATCCCTCCCCCTCCTCCTACCCAGAATCCTTCAGGGCAGCAGATGGACAGAGTGATGGACATGTCTCTGGTCAGTGGGTCTGCAGGTGGTCCAGGTGCATCATCTGTGTAGTCAGGCTGTTAGTGAATTATTACATCATTAATCTGGCATCTCCTCCCACACACAGGCCCCGCCCCTGTGGTGGAAGGCCCCTCCTCTGTGGGCCCTGCTCCTCCAGGCTCTGCACCTTCACCTCTCCTCTACCAGGACCCRGTTCCCCACCCCCCTCCCACCCTGCTGCATGTGCCGTTTGAATCCACACCTCCAACTGCCTTCCTGACCACGGCTCCGCCCCCACTCTCTCACCACGCCCACCTCCCTCATCACTCCTCCTACCATTCTTGTCTGCCCGCTTCATCTCATTGGGGGACGTTCTCGACGACAGGCCAAGCCCCCCGACTGTACTGTCCGGCCCCCAGCTCTGCTCACGTGGTTGGTTACCTGTCTGCCCAGCCCCCTCACCACACACCCTCGCACTACATCCCACCCCCCCTGTGAGGCGTTAGCTCGTGGCTAATGCTACCATCAGCTTTCAATGAGCAGTTGATTTTCTGCACCGCTTCCTGAGGGTGAACGAAGAAGACGAGCAGACGGAGGCGGCCATTTTGTTGAAATGTTTTGTTTTGCTAGCCACATGCTAAATGCTAACATGTTTGTTTACAAGTCTGCCTCAGTCACTTCCTGTTGAACTTGACAGTGTTTTGTGTTTTCCTTCAGTTAACTGGTGAGTGTGTTCTGGAGGTGGGTGGGGCTATGTTCTGGAGCTGGGTTATAGTCCCTGTTTGTGAGGGACCTCCTTGTTTTCTGCTTGTGTTCAGATGCATTTTGGGTGTTTTGGTTGTGGTTTGGGTGAATAAAACGTTCCAACAGCAGATGGTGTGTTCCAGCAGATCTTCGGACCAGGACCAGGACCAGGACCTGTTGCTCTTCTAGTCTCAGATCTATCTGTAGGTTCCTGAACAGAAGGCTGCTGTAGGTTCTGTCATCCAAAGCATTAGAAAAAAATTAGCTTTATTCATTTCATTAAAAAAACACATTTACATAAAACAAAACAAATAAAATAAAAGGTAGGAYAATAAAATCTTATTTCTGCCCCTATTTGCAAAAAATAATTTCTAACCATAGTAATCAAATAATAAAACTAAAAAAAAATTCAACTCAAACAGCAACTCTTACAAATACAAATGATGTAATTTCATATTTCTTTAAACATTTAACTTTGTTATTCTCAAGTTATTTGAGTCACTGTTTTTATAATCACTGGCCAAGTTATTCCAGTCTTATTCCTCTGAAGTACACCTGCCCTTTAAATTTGAACAAATTTCAGGTTTTACAAAACATTATAGGCCCTTAAAATTATAATACATGTTCAAAGGGTATACATTTTGTGCTTTATACATAACCTGTAAAATATAATAAAACAACTCATAAAACTTTTTCTCTAGAGGACTCTGGAGTCCTCTGGACTCTAGTGGACTGGACTCTAGAGTCTAGAGTCCAGTCCTCTAGAGTCCTGTTCTCCAGAGTCCTCCTGAGTCCAGTCCTCTAGAGTCCTGTTCTCCAGAGTCCACTAGAGTCCAGTCCACTAGAGTCCAGGCCTCCAGAGTCCTCCTGAGTCCAGTCCTCTAGAGTCCTGTTCTCCAAAGTCCACTAGAGTCCAGTCCWCTAGAGTCCWGMRCTCCAGAGTCCWCRWGAGTCCAGTCCWCTAGAGTCCWGMRCTCCAYAGTCCWCRWGAGTCCAGTCCTCTAGAGTCCTGTTCTCCAYAGTCCACTAGAGTCCAGTCCACTAGAGTCCAGGCCTCCAGAGTCCTCCTGAGTCCAGTCCTCTAGAGTCCTGTTCTCCAAAGTCCACTAGAGTCCAGTCCACTAGAGTCCAGGCCTCCAGAGTCCTCCTGAGTCCAGTCCTCTAGAGTCCAGGCCTCCAGAGTCCAGTCCTGATGATCCAGTTCAGCCTCAGTGTGTCGGTCTGGAGGAGACCCCCCTGGAGACCACAGCACAGGTCAGGGTTCAGACCTGTCCTGGACCAGGACCAGCTCCAGATGTGTCGTCATGGTAACAGCTCAAAAGGGATCTCCACGGTCCACAGGTCTGGACCTCCTCGGGTATGCAGCGGCTCCATCAGCCAGCGAGGGTTGGACAGGTGAGTCAGGTACTTGTCCTGTAGACCAATCAGGAGTGCCGACTGCTCCAGACGATGAAGCTCCTCCTCCTGTGGGGAGGCGGGGCAGAGCCAGGTCTGGCCCACATCCACCAGTCCTGGAGGAGAAACGGTGATGCGTTCAGGGACACCTGGGAAACTCCAAACTGAAAGCTGCTGGGCTCACCTGCCACCACACCACGGCCGAACCGCTCCCCCGAGTCCAGCAGGTCCAGGATCTGGGTCCTGCTCATCCCCAACGGGCCACTCAGCACCGACCGCCATTCCTCCCCCTCCCAGTCCCGCCAGGCCACGTGGACCGCCAGGGTCTGGTTCTCCAGGGGGCCCAGCAGGGGCCTCCAGCGACTCTCCACGGTCTTCACCCCGTCCAGAACCAGACCAGCYTAGGGCTGCCTGAAGGACAGAGTCCACACCTGCAGGGACATGGTCCTGCAGGACATCATGGGACATCAGGAACCACATTCATCTGGGTCCACATTCAAGAGTCCTACTGACCTGGACCGTTTCCGACAGGGAGTCCACTCATCAAGCTTGTCCTCCAATCTGACCGGAAGCTTAGACCTGATCACGTGACGCGTTTCCGCTTCTGTCCGTCCGAACCCAGCAGCTGTTTGACCCGGTTCGGTACTTTTCAGACGGTTTTCATGGGAGTTTGGTTGTAAACGTGTTCAGATGAAACCGAACATTCAAAACCGGACCGGGTCAGAGTCTTCAGGACTCCAGAGTCTAACCGGAACCACCGGAACCAGAGTTTCTTTTTCTACTGAGAGACTTCCGTCRGCGGGGGTCTGACGCCCCCTGCAGGCCAGACCTGAGTTCTGTTGCATAAAGTACCACAAAGTGATACTTMAGTAAAAGTCTTAAAGTATCTGATCTGAAGCTAGGATMGTTTTAGTTGGACCAACAGTCAGAGTCCTCTTTTGAATCCAGGACCACAGAGACCTCAGTCCTTCTAAGCACCCTGTCCCTGCCAGCTGTGCAGGTGTCCTYTCAAGACCTGAAGACCTCCTGAAGCTCCACAGCCTCCGTCACCGCTGGAGTCCAGCAGCAGTACTTCAGTTACTGATTATCTACAAAAACCAGAGTCCAAGCTATCCAAACTCTAGACCAGAGGTGTCCAAAGTCCGTCCTCAAGAGTCCTGCATGTTTTAGGAGCTGAACCTCAGGACCTGATCAGTAGGCCTCTTCAGTGCTCCATCAAGGTCTGCAGAGGCCTACTGATCAGGTCCTGAGGTTCAGCTCCTAAAACATGCAGGACTCTTGAGGAC